GCTAACTAGGTACAGCAGTAGCGCTCGCTTTCCAACGCTACTACTAACAGTTAGTTGTAGCGCCTTAGTAGTAGCGCTTGTACAAGCACTACTACTAGCTACAAAACAAGCGCTACTACTAGGGTTTTCCCTAGTAGTGTTTGGGGGTGATGTAGACTACCAAACATGCCCTTATTGTCCAAACCACTCCACAAATCTGTTCATACATAATGATGGTGTTGCGGTGCAGGGCTCTCTCACCATGTCGGTTCTTGACTTAGTGGACCGGGTTGGCGACTCCTAGGTCAGTTTCGTCTTGGGCCACACTGAGTGGACCATGTGGCGTTATACGAAGACTCCAGAAGACTTGACGTGCAAGCCAAATGTATCGGTATCATGGAGTACTCTACCTCCACCGACGTAGTTGACTAGGATCTGTAACCCTAGGACTCCTTGTATGTTTATAAGTCAGGGGTTGGGCTCGTCGGTAGACAGATTAAAATCCCTTGGTCTTCATATGTACTTTGTATACACCTAAATCGCAATACGAACAGGAGTAGGATATTATCTTCACCGTGAGAGTTTGAGCCTACGTAAAACATTGCCACTTGTTACCATCCAGCCCAATCTCCTAGCCACGATACCCTACCGAGGGATCTCCCGGATTTAGCTCCGACATACAGCCTGCCTGTGATGCAGCGAGTAACAGGGGACTCTTAGAGGCGGTCGTCGGAGTCGAAGGAGGCGGCCAGTATGAAAACATGTTCACCCCCATGTATGATCTCGTGCTATGTTTTTCCATTTTTGTTAGGTTTATTTGGATCGTTTTTCTATTGTTCTGTTTTTCTATTGTTCTGACTAAGTTTATTTGGATAAGATTCACATTATTTTCAGGATTTTTTGTCGTATGGCACACATCATGCTTCTTTCGGACCATTTAAAATCCTACTCGCTCTGTTTGGTTGCTAACTTCTTCTACATGTGTGTTCTAGTCATAGTTCATTTGGATGGTTGCCTAAAATACGGTATGCATGTATAACATTCCAAATTTTTAATTTGGAATGTTATACATAGATCATTCATGTATATCATATTTTATTGCATTTTGTTTTGCGATCCTAAAAATCCTAAGCAACTCAAGTACCCACGAAGAGAGTTGGGGATTTCATGATTTTCATATTTGAATTTTTATCAAATATTGAAATGGGGATCATTTTTTGTTTTAATTATTTTTCTTTTCGAAAATATTTCATATTAAAATATATGAGAGGAGATAACATGACTTCTCCAAAATAAATGAAATATTGGAGGAAAAATATTAAAATTAAATAAATAATTTTATTTGGATATTATTGCTATTTTATTTGAATTAGAAAATATGCATTTTTTAAAATTGCATTTTTAGGTCAAGAAAATGTTTACTTTGTTCTAAATATTCTATTTAGACAGTGAAAATTCATTTCGGTATTTTTAGATTTTAATTTTATTTTTTAGGATTTTTCCGGCGAAATCTGTTTAAAAAAAAAGTCAACGCACGACTGGGCCGAAGGCCCAGCCGAGCCAGGCCGGCCCGCATCGCGCCACCGCCTCCGCCGTCGTGCCTGAGTCTTGCCGGGACACGGGCGAGCTGCCCGGGAGTCCTCCCGAGGCCGAGCCCCCCCCCTCCTTAAATTGCGTCGCCCGCATCCCCCTGGACCCCCAAGTCGCCGCCGCCACCGCCCCTCGCCGCAGCGCCGCCGCCGCCGCAAACCCCGCCACCTCGCGCCGCCGCACGCCGCTGCTGCTGCCGAGCCGCGCCGCCGAGAACGCCGCGCCTCGCCGAGCCGCGCCGCCCGCGCAAGCCCATCGGAGCCGCCGCCGTTCGCCGGATCTCGCCGGAATCCGACGCCCGGTTTTTTTCTGTTTAGGTAAAACCGATCGGTTTTTAAAAAAAACCCTGAATGTGTTTTTTCATTTTGTTCGGTTCGGTTTTCTCGGTTCTGTTATTTAGCAGACGTTCGTCCGTTCATTCGTTTTAATGAATGTTGTTCGTCCGTTAACCGCAGACAGCGAACGTTCGTTCGTTAGCCTGTTCGTCTCGTTTTATTTTCCAGGGTTTTTCCGTGATTTATTTTCAATCGTTATTTCTTCCCTGATCTTAGTTTTAGTTTATCTTTTCGCTCGTTTATCCAAATCGGGTGAAACAAGAGTCCAGACCTTCGTCTCTGAAGCCCTCTTTCTGTCTAACCAACTTGAACAAGGTTTTGACAAATTTAAAATTTGGTTTCAAGCAGATTTGTTTTCGAAGTTCTTTTGACCGTAGTTTCAGTTCCATAGCTCCGATTCGGTTGATTCTTTTTCCAGATCGAATCTCTTCAGTTGAGTTTTCAGATTCGATCTTCTTATTCGATATTTACCCGTGCATCTTTGCTTGAGTGCTTATGTATGCTATTGTTTGTTTGCGATAGAATTTCTGAAGTGCGCAGCGTGCTACTACGAGTCACTAGGTTTTGCGGATTATCGGCAAGGCAAGTAACACTTCGATCATATCCCTTTTACCCAGTTTTTATGCATTAGTTTCAACTCCTCAAACATTGCATGAGTAGGATCTCTTAACTTATGGGTTTGGGAGGTAGATGATGAGGTAGAACCTATTACCCTTTTATTATCAAACCCTGGGAGTTATTTCTGTGTTATGCTACTTATTGCCATGCTATGCTCGTAGACGTGGATTGGGTTTGAGAGTATCCATGACAGATGTGAGATTATTAATTAATGGTTTACTTAAGGTGGCTACTTAAACACACATCTAGGTGGATTGGTCGCGGGCACGTGGGGATATACCAGTGATGTCCTTTTTGGTTCGCCACCCAGGCTCAAAGGGATCATAAGATTATTCATGCTGGGAACTTCCGTGTGCAGCCACAAGCTATTATGGGCTCTAGCATAGTTGAGTAAGTTGTGGGAAACCTTTTCATTATGGGCTAGCAGATGTAGGGGATTGTAGGTGTACCGGCCTATCTATCGGTTAAGGGGACCTCTTCGGAAAGACTGTGTCTCGGTCATCTGTTTCTCAAACACCATGTAGTGCGAGAAATACAACGAAGGAGATCGAGTCTTGTGGGGAAAAGTGCACAAACCTCTGCAGAGTGTACAAACTAATCATGGTTAGCCGTGTCCTCGGTTATTGACATCTTGAGTATCTGGTTCTTGGATTATCATGTGGATCTCATCACTCTAAGTTAATTTGTTGGGATGTTAATTACTTTTAATTGGGATTAAGATGGGGATTTACCATTCTCAATGTTTTTCAACAAACTTTGTAGTTAAATAAAATATATTACTTTGTTGTAGGGAAAAATTGGCTTTTCGCAAAAACATTATAACCATAGAGCCTCCACCAGCCATATATGCATGTAGTAATAGCATTTACTTGTTCATTGCTCTATTGTGTTATCTTGCCAGCATATTCAATGTGCTGACCCGTTTCGGGCTGCAACATATCATGTTGCAGACTTTTCAGACAAAGGGTAAGGTGCGCTAGGTCGTTTGTCATGCACTCAGCTATGCCGTTGGAGTTGATGGACTCACTTTATCTTCCAAGTCTTCCGCTGTTATCTTATTTAGATAGCCTTAAGGCATATTTATTGTAATAAGTTCTCTTTTGAGACATTCGATGTAATAAGTGTGTGATTGCTACTCTGTTATAAATCCTTCAAGTACTGTGTGTATCAGCATTACCGATCCAGGGATGACACTTATGCACAGAGACTTGATCCATTCGGGTCAGGTCGCTACAGCATGGCACGGGAATATGGTGAAACCACTTCCCGTCAACGCTTCTCATACGTTGGAGGCCCAAGGGACAGCCTGACGGTCTATGAGGAAGCCATGATGGTGATGCGGATTGTTTTATTTTTCTTTTTCTTTTTCTTTTTCTTTTTTGCTACATGGATGGGGAGGAGATAGGCTCTGATACAATGTGAAAATCATATAAGCGTTCCTACACTCTGAAGAGAGAGCTACACCTAATCTCCAAGGCGTTTAGGTTTTATACGCTTCCAAACAAAAGCATGTAGTAAGTATCGTGCGGCTAAAAGTTCATGTGTGTTACCCAACGATATCCAACAGATCCCAAATTACAAAGGGAAGCTATAATACAGTTTTAAAGGCCTGGTTTCAAGTAATCTGCTAGAGTTACCCTAGTACTAGTGGCATCTACATCTAAGATTCTGGTTTATGAAGTTACTAGATACTATTGCAAAGCAGGGCTCCCCTAGGCAGTTGTGCGGGATTGTACTGGTTTGTGCTCAAGTATACAGTTCCATTAAGTTTGAATCGAATGGTGAGACCGAGTGCGACCAAACCACAAACTGTGGAAGAAGGCGATCAGCATTTCTAGATGGGTCTGAAGCTACATCACCATAGAATGAAAAAGCGACATAAGCAGGTGAAGACCGAATTCAGGCAACTCAAGTGGGGGAATCCTAGCCATGCTAGATGCATAACCACCACCTGAGATACAGGTGAATTGGATTTCTTGCTATATGCAAGCTACAGAACAATTGGTTATACAACCAACATAAGCGACCATGTGACAACATTCAAACCTCCCGAGTTAGTTCACAACATTCAAACCATACTTTGTCCATGGTTCACAAAAACCTCCCAAGTTTCCATCTGGACAAAACATAACCCTAGGATTCGAATGTTGTGACTGCATCTTCAGGTAGTTGTTGCTTCTTCTGCCATTGCGTAACTTCCCTACCGCAAAAGGTTGTCAGCCCGCAATTTGGATCACACGCAACGCCAGGACGCTAGCATACCACCACCTCACCTGCCAACACAAAACATTCAGCAATGGGCCATTAGCCATTTTTTCCAAACTTTACCAAAAATCACTCTTAAGTTGCAACATATGAAAAATCACAAGAAAATCCATGCATGTATTTACTGGGTAAAACTTTACAAGGGTAACTTCTATCAACCATCTACTTACACCGGGGGTTTTTTCCATAATTTTTCAAGTTTTCAAAATTGTGTTACATATACCCGGCTTCTAAAATATTGCTCTGATGATGGTACATAACACATTTCAGTATCAGTTGTATACAAATATGGTATGCCGTTGGATCTGGGAACAATGAGCAGCAAAAGGATTAAATAAATACCTTCAAACCACTGAAACAAAAGTTCAGTAGGTCATCATGCCTGGGTATGACTCTTGCACTGAAGTTGGGACCTACATTAACCAGTTACAACAGGACCTAAGTTAGATGCCAACGGATAAACATACTAGTGCATGGAGATCAGGAGAAACAGGGCTAACTAAGGATCATGCATTAGATATATTGTTAGCCAAGTTGCCAAATCATGATAGCACTGTACAACAATCAAAAATTTCTAGCGGATCTAAAGCGTTGGTGACCTGCTAGTACTTAAACACCAAATATACTATCTTCATAAAGGAAACAACATCTAAATACTACTCCCTCTGTAAATAAATATAAGAGTGTTTAGATCACTGAAATAGTGATCTAAATGCTCTTATATTTCTTTACGGAGGGAGTATATGATAAACTCCTTACCTTGGGTCCAAATGATCTCCAATTACTTTTTCTTCTTCCTCAGTGAACATAAACCACTTGTCATTGTTCCCTGTTGTGTCAAACTCTGATACAAACATGATATTGGTAGTCACTAACTGCATAAATATACATGAGTAACATGAAAGCTTATTGCATAATAACTTCAGATGAACCTTGGCGCATTATTGAGGTCTTCTTGTAATAACCATCAAACTTCCAGTATGCAACCCCTTTGTCTTTCCTGACAGGCTTTGTCCTAAGTAGATCTCCCAGCTTCTCATCTAATATCACCACGGTTGAGGTAATAGAAGGCAATTAGTACCGCACAGCTAGCTCAGCGCCTTAACACATTACAGAATAAGATAAGCAAACAGTGTAGGGGATATAACTTCACACCATGCTGAGAAGTGTTATGTTTGAAATGGAGCCTGAGGCTGAGAATGTTCTTTAGTTACTTCACATTCAGAAAAAGACACATGGCTACATGCAACTAAGAGGCTTGGGAACAGCATACATGTTTTTTCATTCTGTTGAGCTTTAGAAAAATATTACCATGAATAATGCTGGTTTAACACTGAATTAACAAAACAGAAAGTGAATACACGCATAAAGGAGTATAAATGAATAGGCAACATTTGTAATTTGTCAAATACAAATTCAAGCTAAAGCTTGAAAGAGAGGTGCAGAAAGATACATTTGACAAAACTGCAAAACCAAGTACAGTATAAAAAGATATACTTATTTAATAAAACTGCAAAACATCAAGCATGTGGAGAGCTAATGAAGTTCAGAAAGCTAAAACAAATATAATACGAAAAGATGTAGATATATCAATTCATAATGTTCAGACCATCTACTGCTGCCTCCTTGTCTTCATTTAACTCCTTAATTTGAGAAATGAGACTCTTAATTTCTTCTCCTTTTCTCAGAAACATTGATTTATCCATCTCATTCTTTAGTCTTTCTTTAAGCTCTTTTTCCTGTAAAACCAGAGAAACCTGTTGTTTAGTACTCCAAAACTAAGTGAGTGGACGAAAAGAAAAGAGGTTGCCTGAGCTCTCAACCTTTTCCTTCGCAGCACGGATTTTTTCTCTTGCAGCAATCTTTCTCTCAGTGGCACCTTCATCTTGTTTGACAATCAAGCCCCTTAATGTTCTGAACAAAATCAAAATATAATTAATATAGGAGTAAAATAGCCAAGTGAACTACTACAGAAATACAGTAGGCAGTACTTACGCAGTAGAAAGGGTCTCATCACACAGAAAATTCAGCACATGGAGCTTTAAAGAAGGGCTCAACTTTTTATATCCTGATACCCCTTGGTTTAAACAGTCAAGAGGTAGTTCCTTCGAGATAACTGTGGATTCACTAATATATCTGCCAGTCTCAGTTATCCAAGCATCCCCATCTCTTGAATAGTCCAAAGGGCTATGAACGAAATAACCTCACTTAGTCATTTAATAATCAGATTTAAACAAAACTACAAAGAAACATCAATTCAGAATGGACGTACTTCTCTCCTCTGTCTTCTTGGAGGACAGACAGCAAACTAATGTGAAGATCAGCAACAACTGAAGGCACCACTCGGCCTTTACGGCTTCCTCCAGTTATGACTTGAAGAACTTTTTCAGGCTGTCCCTTCTTTATTTGAAACACCTGAGCAAAAAATCATTTTCTACATCATTCCATTTACACGACAAATTATATTCCAGCAGACACAAGATGACAGATCAACATGTGGAACCGTGGAAACAATAACCCATTTTCTAAAGACATACGGCATGAAAGCAATGCAATACAAACATAGTATCAAGAAAGTAAAAGCTGAAAGATTATCATTATTACTTGGTTGCATGAGTACCTCAGCAAATGTGCGGCAGAATTCATAAAACTGAATCGCAGACCCAACATCGTCGGCCTCCAGCTTGGCCCCTACAACATTAGTGACCAGAGTACCTTTGGGTAGCTCAGTTTTGGTCTTGAGCACATCAGTGCTCTCATCAGAAGCGCCCTTCTTCAGCTTCTTGTTGGCAGGAGATAAAGGAAATGCATTGAGATCAGTCCCTACATTCTCATCCCCATCAACCACTATTCCATCGGCATCATCATCTGTCCCTAGGGCCCTCTTTTGTTCCTAACAAAGGGGCCAGCAAAACAGAATCAGCAATAATGAACAACAATTACAATGTAAAACAGAGAATCACCAAACAAAGAAATGGACCTTCTTGATCTTCACGGGGAGCGAGGTCAGCGTCTGTGCAGCGGCCACCATGTCCGAGCCCTGTTTCAGCAGCTCATGGACGGAAGAGTGCCCAGTCGCCTTGGCGGCATGGGCCAGTATCCCTGTGGGAGTCTCCCCTTTCTTCTTTCTGTCAGACAAAACCAAGCTAAGTAAGAAATACACCTACTAAGCTAGAAATCCCATAATAAACGTGCATCAGCTTGGCTCTTGGGTGTAACCTGCAGAAGCTGCAGTTGCAGATGCCCCTGCATTTGGGGCAGGCCCAGCGCGCCTTCTTGGCCGCCTTCTTCGCGTCCTCGCCATACCTAAACAAGCCAAAGAAGAAAACCCAGATCAGACCAAGACGGAGACGACGATCGATTGAATCCGTGAAAGAAATCCATCCATTTTACCTGTTGGACAGGCACGTGTGGCAGAAGTGGGTTGAGCAGGGCCCCTTCCCCCCGGGCTGCTTGCAGGCCACCGCAAAGTCCGTTGTTTTCTGACGGCACTGCGAGCGCATAACGGGAAAACCAATCAGCCAGCCAAATCCGGCCCCCAGAACAGAGTGACCCGCGGGAGGGACGGTTGCAGATCCGGAACGGCGCTCACCTGGTGGCAGGTCTTGCCGTTCTCCGGGTCGTAGATCCGGCCGCCGACGGCGCGGATTCCGGGGCACGGGTTGCGCTTCCTCGGAGCCGCTTTCTTGGCCTCCTTCTCAACCTCCACCTCCGTCTGCGCCGGCACGGGCACGGCCACGCTCTTCGCGCCGCCGACGGCGCCCTTCTTCCTCCCCATGGAGACGGACGCGGTCGAGGAAAGGGGGGCAGAGGCGGATTGGAATGCGGAAATCGGAAGCTCGGGAGGCTGTGAGAGAAGGAAGGTGTTGGATTGGGGGTGATAAATTTCTTGGGGGCGGAAGGGTCAGATCAATCAATCAATCCGCCGCGCCCGGAACCCGGAGAGGCCGAGAGAGGGGAAGCGGGACGGGCGTGGTGGTGGGAAGCGAAGTGGGATGCCGTTCCCCCAGCCAGTGTGTTGCCCCGCAAATTTTGAAATTTCGCTTCTCGCCGTTGCCCATTCTCTACCGCCACCGGAGGGGGGCCTCGTTTCGCTCAAAAGCGAAGGAAAAACATTTTTTAAAATGGGGAACCTTTCCCGGGTTCAAAACAATGGGGCAAAATTTACTTTATTATTACTTCCTCCGTTTCTTTTTAGTCCGCATATAAAATTTGGTCAAAGCCAAACTTTGTAAAATTTGACTAACTTTGTAGAAAAAAAATATCAACATCCGCAATACTAAAGCTATGTGGTATGAACACTAATTTGCATGATGCATCTAATAATATTAATTTCATTCTGTGAATCTTGATATACTTTTTTTCTATAAACTTGGTCAAAGTTGACAAAGTTTGACATTGGCCAGATTTTATATGTAGACTACCAAAAAAACAGAGAGAATACTTCTGAAATGGGTGTCCATACATCCGTATCTAGACGAATCTAAAACAATTAATTCGGGACGGAGGGAGCGTGTAATTTCTATGTATGAAGAAAGAGACTAAATATTCTTAATGGCGTAATAACATTCTAATTGTACTTTTTCTTGTGACTTGACCATATTCATTTGGATTTATGTGTTTTCTATCCCTATGGATCAAACATCAACGCTTTTGCAAAATTATGAGTTTTTCAACCATCTACCTTGCGGAGGCATCCCTATCCTATCATGTGTTTCTTTCGTTCCTACGTTTTTAGGATCCTGCAAATCAAAGAGGCCCTAAGAGTGTGTTTGGTTAGTAACTAATTTGGTGAACAGGTGATTGGTACAATATGATTTCCCGTAGCACAAACACATACGGTTCCGCATGTCCTCCGATGGCATCTTCCATCAAGAGTCTTCATCTCGGCACTCACTTTCAATCAAGGTTGTCAGAATCGCGATTTTAAATCGAATCGGAGCTCCGATGGTAGGATCGTAAATCGTCGAACTTAACTATTAGGATCGTAGAAACGTAGATTCTGTGAACTAAAATCGTAGAATCGGAAAGGTCTGTTTGGATCATAAAGTCGTAGAATCTTACAACAGAATCGTGATTTCTGACAACCTTGCTCCCAATCTCTCCCCGGGACTGCGGATCACCTCGCGTTGGTCCTCATCGGGGCTTACATCATCTTGGAGGAAGGTAGAATACATTGACACGTGAGCTACACAAAAATGACAATTTTCAGATTTTGAAAACATGAACAGTGCATGTAATGTTCGCTAAAGAAAACAAATTGTTCTCAGTTTTTGTGTAGCTCATGTAACAATGTATTTTCTCATACAAATTTACACATGTGTAGTACAAATCCATCTTTCTGCAAAAAAAAAGTACAAATCCATCTTACAATGTGTAAAAAAAGAAGAGTCCTAAAACTATTCAAGTGGTGTTAAGTTAGTCTTAATACTATGAAAATCCACGCTCGAGTCCTGAAAGTTTGCTAAGTGTGCCACACGTAGTCTTATCCGTGTTGCACCATCTTTTACTTGCAGTGGTGGCAGGTTGATTACTTTCATGTGGTGACATTTTGCACAAAAACCTCAAAACGTCATCTGTGCTATTTTTGCGGCACTCCACTTTACACAAAATCTGCCCACATGTCGTCTAGCCATCAACCTAATCAAGTCATCCATCTCATTTCTTGTTTTTCTATTCCTATAAATGTAACATCAATTGTCAGTGTCAAAACCGGCGGATCTCGGGTAGGGGGTCCCAAACTGTGTGTCAAGGCCGGATGGTAACAGGAGACAAGGGACACGATGTTTTTACCCAGGTTCGGGCCCTCTCGATGGAGGTAATACCCTACTCCTACTTCATTAATATTGATGATATGAGTAGTACAAGAGTAGATCTACCACGAGATCAAGGAGGCTAAACCCTAGAAGCTAGCCTATGGTATGATTGTTGTATATGGAGTTGATGTCCTACGGACTACAACCCTCCGGTTTATATAGACACCGGATAGGGTTAGGGTTACACAGAGTCGGTTACAATGGTAGGAGATCTTGAATATCCGCATCGCCAAGCTTGCCTTCCACGCCAAGGAAAGTCCCATCCGGACACGTGGCGAAGTCTTCAATCTTGTATCTTCATAGTCCTGGAGTCCGGCTGAAGGTATAGTCCGGCTACCCGAACACCCCCTAATCCAGGACTCCCTCAGTAGCCCCTGAACCAGGCTTCAATGACGACGAGTTCGGCGCGCAGATTGTCTTCGGTATTGCAAGGCGTGTTCCTCCTCCAAGTCCTTCATAGAAGATTGTAAACACCAAGAGTAGTGTCCGGCTCTGCAAAATAAGTTTCCACATATTGCCATAGAGAGAATAATATTAACACAAATCAAATCTGCTGACGTATTCCGTAGTGCGTCATCACACTACGGCCAAGTCCTTTACTCGAATCATTTTTACTTTTCCACCTCAGCACGTTTTGCGAGGCGGTTTCCTTGGCACGTCTTGTCAAAGCAGAGATCGTGTACCCCCTTTTACGGGATTCTCATCAATACGGACATGGGTAACCCAACCGCGCCTGTTAGCATGTTTCCTCGATTAAAGACGAGTCTCGAACGGTTACGGGGAGGGCTCTTGGTATTCAACCTATTATAAAGAGACCAAGGCCTTACTCCTTTTTTCAATCTCAAGCGAGTTCGCCGGTCGCCTCGAGTTCCAACACCCTAGGCTCCAGATTCCAGGCGCTTCAGACCTTCGACAATGTCCGGTTCTGACCTTCAAGGCCGATGGACGCCCTCCTCCGTCACGGAGGAGGACATACTAAAGTTGAGGGAGGCTAAGTTCCTGACCGGCAAAATTTCGCATAGGTTGCCTGCTCAAGGGCAGGTCATTCCCAGTCCCCAGCCCGGTGAGAGCGTGGTGTTCATGTCTCACTTCCTTCGGGGGTTGGGCTTCCCAATGGATCCCTTTGTGAGGGGACTGCTGTTTTATTACGGGCTGAAATTCCATGACTTAGCTCCGGAGTCCATCCTCCATATCTCCTCATTTATTATCGTGTGTGAAGCGTTCCTCCGTGTTACCCCTCATTTCGGATTATGGCTCAAGACCTTCAAAGTGGAGCCGAAGATGATCAAGGGACGGCACGCAGAGTGCGGAGGCGCTGTTATAAGCAAAAATGCTGATGCTCCATGGCCCGAGGGCTCTTTTCAAGAGGAGCTAGACTTGTGGCAACGAGAGTGGTTTTATATCACCGCTCCCCGGAGCACCAAGTGGGTGGCGCCTCCTGCCTTTCGCTCGGGTCCCCCACCACGGCTAGCGTCATGGGTCAACAGGGGGTTAGATTGGGGTTTGCCCAAAGACGTGCCCTTGTTACAGGGCCGCATTAAGGATCTCTTGGAAGGAGACCTCAGCCTGGTCAAGGTGATGCAGGTCATGTTGATTCGCCGAATATTGCCCGGCAAACATCGCTCCCTTCGCCTGTGGGAGTTTAATCCAGAGGGACCGCGAGCTCTCCAGAATTTCATGGGCGCAACGCCCGCGGAGATGTATAAATTGTTCTTCGGATCACAAGAGATGTGTCCGGATTTAACCGAGGACGCAGGCCTAAGCTGCAATCGCCCGGATACTCAAGTAAGCAACCTTGTGCCCGGACCTTCTATCCGTATAATTGTCATAAACTTGCCCCTAAAAGAGCCGTCCTTTTAAACAGGAGTGGATAGCGAAGGCAAAGCTGATCAGGTGTCCGACTCCCCTTCCCGAAACCAGGCCGGATCCCGTGCTGGTCAGGATGCTGGAGATAATGCCTTTGGAGGGAAGCAAGGGGGAGGACAAGGAAACTATGGCCTCCTCGAAGGAGGCTACTCCGAAGGGAGGAACCGACAATTCCTCTCCTAAGGGGAAGAAGAGAGCCGCCTCTGACGACCCAGAAACCATGGCCTCGAAGCGGGGGAAAAAATCCTCGTCAGAGGGTCCGACGCCGGGGAGTTCCTCGGCCGGACTACGCCCTCAAGGGGATCAGCCCTCCAGCGAGCCGTAAATAAAGAAAGATTTTCCTTTTGAGGGATGAGGGAAACCCTTGATTTACATCTGAGAAGATTAACCGAATTTTTACCTTGTAGCTCGGAGCTCAGCCCTTCTCAGCAGAGCTCGTCTTCGGGGGGTCTCCTTCAGGAGATGATGGAGAGCGGGACGCCTCCCCCTGCCGTGCCGCCTAGCGAGGCGGGCGACCCTGAGGTGTCGTCGCGGAGGGTTTCTCTGAATCTGGCAGGGGCAGAAGGTAGCTATGTGGCCCCCCGAGGTTCTCCGCGTCCGGCCTTCGAAAGAGGTCGTGGGACAAGTCCGGCACCGTCTGGTGCTCGGCCGGAGGAGCTAAAGATTCTGCTGGGGCGAGCTTCTATCTCGGAGGAGCACCGTGTATTGATGGGCACGGTGATTGAAAGGATCTCATCCGCAGAGAGCGGATTGCATGAGGTCGTCAAAAGTTTACTGACGGGTTTTGAGGTACATTAGATAATGTACACTTTTGTCAGTTGCGCATGAATAAGATGCGCCCTGTGTAGATAGTAGCCCCTGAGACTCTGCGCGTTGTCAAGAAATGATGGCACGCGGAGGATCATAATCCCAGGTCTAAGATGTCGCCTTTGAATGTAGGCGGCAGGGTGTCCGGAATCGAGCCGAACTGATGATTTTGCCGAACTAAAGCGGCAACTGGACGTGGCAGATGCCGACATCGCGCTTGTCAACAAGTGGCTTGATGAGGCTCAAGGTATGTAATTCCTCGAGCGTGTTGGAAATATGCCCTAGAGGA